GTCTGCCCAGTCTATTGGAGAGGTACAAACAGAGATGATCTCAGAACAATCTGTGTCTGGAATTCTTTTCCTGCAAGCATTTCTCTCTCCCACTGGAGAGATCAATGCTTACCTTAATGGTGTGTGCAATTCACAGAATGCGGTTTTTGTTTGAGACACAGGCACAAACACCTCAAAGCAAACCTCACTGAAATGGAGGCTCAGGGGCCTCTAGCTCATCCCTTTGACAAGTCCCTATCCAAACTGTCCCCGAGAGAGGAATGCCGGCGAATTTATGGAAAGATCACACAGGAAAAACTGTTCACAGGGTGTGGCCGGCGAGTGAGCATGATGCCCGGAGAAGGATGAGTCAGAAACAGGGTGGATCATGATCCTGTGTGGACTGAAATGGGGAGAACCAGACGGGCAGGGAGTGGAGGGAGGGTAAGAAGAAGGTGGGTTTCCTTCTGAAGAACTGAGCTTGAAAAGGCAACTCAGAGTGAAGATTTCAAGACCCGAGATGAATCTCCCTACTTTTGTGGCTAAGAATTTAATAACTCTCTTGAATTTCGGTTATATTTTTTTCTGTCTTTCGGAATTTGAAACCCAGGATTGATGAACCCATGGCGACATCGAGTAGAAGAAGGGTTCCTGGGGGGAGGGGCAGATACAATAAGGGGAAAGGAGGGATGGGGGAGCCGATATCAAGGAGTTCAAGAAAGAAGAGAATATTTTGAAACTGCGGTAGCAATTGTATCATACTGCTTGATGCGATTGAACCATGGAATGATGTGATAACTGTCTTAGCTCCCAATAAAATAGTTTTTTGGGGAAAATGAAGAAATGAATAAGCAACTTCTCAGTAAGCTTTGATAAGTCCACACTACGAACACAGGTCTTTTTCTGTCATCTGGTGCTACATCATATCCCTGACTCTGTCAAATAAGGTGCCAGATAAAAGGTTTAGCAGAGAGACCCACAGGGGGCTCAGCCAGTTAATTAGGCACTTAAAACGAAGGCAGAGGGGGAACGTTTGTCACATCTGTAGTTCACAATAAGTTAAATGCCACAGGTGTCAGAATGAATAGGCAAAAATAACTAAAACAGCTAGAAAGAAGAACTGAAATTAGCATGAACTTTATCAGAGATCAATGTAGAACTTTATTAGAAAATCAATTGCATAATGATAATAGGACACTTTCAACAGTAATGATATAATAACTACCATTTATTTTTATCCAGTAACTACTGTATGCCACTTATTTCACTAATTTATTAACGGCCCTATGTATTTATTTATTAACAGCCCTATTAACTATTAATGGCCCTGTGACATGATTATATTTATCCCAGTGAAGAAACTGGAACCAAAGAGATTAAATAAATGTGCCCAAAGTCATACTATTAGCCATTGGGAGAGGCAGTTTTCAATCTTCAGTTTATTTCACTGAAAAATGTAATGCCTTATAACCAAGTTAGCTAAGGATTGTGTTACCTGAATGAACCACATGGGTAACAAAGATGTGGAGATTTTAAAAATTAATAAACCATTTATTGGGGGCTCTCACATATATTGTAACAACCCATGAATCAGTTATATCAAGCAAACTTGTGCAGATGTTGCCACCATCAATTTCTAAAGACCTTCTTGTTGAGCCCTTGAGCATCAGCTCCTCTTTATTCCCTCCTTGCCCCACATACAACCCTCGTGAACACTTAGTATATTATATATTATTGTTTTTACTTGTCTTACACCATCAAATATATCCCTTCACCGACAGTTCTGATATTCGTCCTCCTCAAGGGGTGCAGATTTTATCTTTTCCATTCATAAAAATAAATGAGGATTGTCTGTTTCAAGTACCGAAGCACAGAAGAAAAGTCAATTGGGAGGCTATTTACACAAAGCTGTTCATGACTTGTATGTTTCAAAATGTTTACCTAGAGGTCTGGCATTTTTATGACCGCAGGAATGCTTAGTGTGGAAGGACTGAGAACCAGATCTCAGTTGGGTTTCTGCTAGCATTCCCTTCCTCATGAACCCTTGATGATTTATAAATTATTATTATTTTGTCATGTCTTACATTGACTGATGTCTCCCGTCACCCACTTTTCTGTTGTCTATCCCCCAGGGAGGGGATTAGATGTAGATCATTGTGATGGGTTCTCCCTTTCTCCCCACCTTCCCCTTCCCCTCCTGGCATCGCTACTCTCATTATTGGTTCTTAGGGGTTTATCTGTCCTAGATTCCCTGTGTTTCCAGCTGTTATCTGTGCCCACGTACATCCTCTGGTCTAGTTGGATTTGTAAGGTAAAATTGGGTTCATGATAGTGGGGGGTAGGAGGAGGAAGCATTGAAGAACTAGAGGAAAGTTGTATGTTTCATCGGTGCTATACTGCACCCTGACTGGCTCGTCTCCTCCCTGGGAACCTTCTGTAAGGGGATGTCCAGTTGCCTACAGATGGGCTTTGAGTCCCCAATCTTCACTCCCCCTCATTCACAATGTTATGATTTTTTGTTCTTCGATGCCTGATACCTGATCCTATTGACACCTCGTGATCACACAGGCTGGTGTGCTGCTTCCCTGTGGGCTTTGTTGCTTCTCAGCTAGATGGCCTCCAGGCCTGCTTACCCTCTTGTTCCTTGGCTGACTTTCCTTTTCTTCCTTTTCTGGGGTTTTCCTGTTTCTTCTCAGCCCCGGGACAACATCCCCTGAATCAAGGGCCTTCCTTGCTAGCTTCTGTAACAGATGCTCACAATCTCTCTACTTTTGTGGTTAAGAATTTAATAAATAAATTCCTATGTAGTTTAGATAAACACAAGACTGTGAACACGGTCTTTTTCTGTCATCTGGTGCCAAATCATTTGCACAGTTAGGCATCCTGAATGGCTGGTAACTAGCTAGGACAGAGAATGCAAATCACAAGGGTCAGTGTGTTTATTTTCTTTTCTATTCCTCACCTGGCCACTTCACTACTTACAAGACCTAGGAAGGTGCTGCTAGTTCACGGTGTTTACAGTTTTTTCCTTTAAAAAGTTCCACGTCAGCAGTGCCTATTTTACCCAAACAGGCCAACTCTGTGAAGACAACCGGGTAACCAAACTGGAAAAAATGAAACAAAGTTGCTTTTGCCTAGGCAGATGAATGTAGTGTATGATTATCCACAATATATTATTTTGGTTTTCTACCACACTATCTGTGGTCGTATATGGCTTATCAACTACTCTGCTGGACTTTGTCCCTCAAAGAGGCATCATAAAAACATTTAGGTTCTATGGCCTTTCTTTATTAAAACTGCCAACTGGATTGCCCAGAACAGGTTCAAAGGCTTCCAATGGCCTTAGAAATATGTCTAAAAGGGAACTTTCTAAACCCCTCTTGCTTATTTGAATAAAGTCTTGATCTCATGTTTGGTAACTTCTTTGATCTAGCCTCCCTTCCCCTTCCTCTTGCTGAGTTGCAAGTCCAGGTCGAGAACCCTCAATGCTTGAGTTACATAGCTCCCCTCTTTTCTGGTACCTTTGTCCCTTCCAGCCTATCCTGATGACCTCCGTTAAGCCTACTGGCACGGCAGTCCTTCAGAGTGCAAACCCTTCTCTTAACTCCTTATGGTCAGAGCCCTAACGCTCCTTTGTGATCTGGCCCCATCCTGCATGTCCAACCTTTATTAAGACCGACCCCCTCCAGTCCCACAAAACATACTTTACTGCCCTGGTTGGGGTAAAGAACTCTCACCCTCATGTCACAAGTAGACTGCACTCATTCATGTGCATCTCCAAGTCTTAACTTTTGCTATTTCCTCCCTCCCACAACATCACACTGTTTCTTCCACTCTCCAGCTGCCTCCATCTGAACCACTTCTTAGCTCGAACCACTTGAAATCTCTTCTCCGTGAAAGAGTCTCCAGAGGCTCTAATTCTGGTCTTATCCTCATGTAGCCACTGGCTCCCTTCCATCGCTTTACCTGCAGCCTCGCCGTGGAGGTACGGGACCCGAGAGCACCAGCTATGATGAAACTGGGTTCCTGTTTCACACGCCATTCTGATCACACGATCCACAGTATATAACAAGCGATTAAATGGCTGACACCTTCTTATACCAGAGCAAAAGCTCGTCTCAAACATCCAGGTATGAAGCAATGACCAGGCATAAACTAACTTATTTCTTGAGATCTGTCTTGAAATTCGAATTCACCAGCTCCTCATTCTTTGTGATTCTCTGTCTACTACCTGTGCCACGTCACCTCATAGAGTGCAGTAGTCCGGGGGATGTGAAACACTCTGATTGCCAATGGCACAATGCTGTTCTTCCTGGGCCAAAAGGAGGATTGCCAAGTTAAGATGTAGGCAGTCATCTTTTCCCTAGGCGAGAGGCGTTTCCTGACTCTGGCCCCTTGAATCACCACGTCTCTTTTTCCCTTCTGTGTGGCTTCTCCTCGGTCATTGTAACAGTGGTATAAGGACATTAGAAAAAGAGATCTAGGGAGGCGGGCTGGGGAGGAGGAGGGGGCGGCGCGCGGGGAGGGCGGGGGAGGTTAAAAAAAAAAAAAAAAGGAAAAGAGATCTAATCGCCCCAAGACACTTGTGATAGATACCCACAAAATAAATAAGGGACACTGAAACTGCAGTGAATACAAATGATTATCCTTACTCTTAACCTCAATAGTAATCCACCATGAAGGGGTTAAGGACTCAGGTGAGGAAAACCCTCCTTTAGACAGGCTTGATGCATTCAGACCCTGAAAGCTGGCGTTTGGTGCCATCTAAGCCCCCGTAGCTTTTTCATCTCATCCTTTCTCCAAAGCTTCACACTTCCATCTATCACTGGGGAAACCAGTTTGGAGGCAAGACCTCTGGCTTCTCCACATTTCTTTAAAAACCCTACTTCCTTACAGTAATTGCCACCCACTGCTTTAGAGTTAGCAAAGCTTTCCAAATTTCAGTATTTCTGAGATACAGACAAGAGCATTTAACAAAAGAAGGAGAAATAGGAGAAGGATTTGTAAGGGGAAAATCTTACCTCAACTTCTGACTGGCTGGGACAGTTATTTTATTCAGCTTGTCCATTCTTTTTGGTAATGGTGACACGCGGAATGGATGTCCGGTGGCAGCGTCAGCAGTTCCCGGCCCTCCTAGGGAGTAGCATGGTAAGTGTTTTGGGCTCCGGAGTCTCCCTGCCACTTGACTCTGGTTCCCGAGAGTGAGCACAAGGCTGCTGGCAGACACTCCTGTGCTTGGGAGAGGTAGAACTTGCTTGAGCACATAGCAAGTTTCATGTTTCTACGCAATCATGTGATCTGGGTAGCCGGCCCGCTTGGCTGATTACGCCACGTTGTGTAAACTTTAAGAGTGAAACCTACTGGGCATGCAGATTTCGTGCCAGCTGCTTGCTTTTATAACCAGATTTGTAACCAGGACAGGACAGGCTGCTGGCTGGTCACTACTTCCTGTTTATTCTGTGTGCTGAGAGTCCCTGTTTTCAGTAAGTGTCATGACGGGCTCACTGGCAGCTTCCTGGCCTCAAGGAAAAGAAGGATAATCAAGTCCATCTTCTGACTCTTTGGGACTTTCTGCTCATTTGCTTAAGGCTTTTTCCTCTTTTTGAACTAATCGGTGAAAAGGGCATTTCTGCACTGTCTTTTCTGCCTCTCCTCCCCCACCCCAAAGATGATTTTGAATAAATGTCTATCGGGGTGGCAGTAACCCAGGGGTACACATTCCCTCAGAGGCTCTTTCTTTTCCCGGAGAGCTGTCTAAGATGGGACGGGGAGTCCCTTTGCAAGGTCATTCCGAGGTACCTTGGAGACCATCTCCACCATGAGCCGTGTGGCGTCCCTCTTGGATGAGCGGAGTCCAGAACTACCCTGCTTTGATGCTGGATGCTTTCCAGTGAAACCCAAGCGCACCCCAAAGTCGGCCAAGAACAAAGTCAACCACAGAATCCTGACAGCAGGCCATTCTGAAGCTCCTCTCCAAGCCGAATGTCACTTTCTCCTGTCTTTGTGCCCTCGCCTCATCATCCCCAAGGGGCATGCCAGACGCGGAGGTGGCAGAACCTATCACCGCCCACGCAGGAGGAGCGAGTGGAACGCTGGCCAGAGAACGCCGCCCTTGCATGCGGCCAAAGCCATCTGCAGAAGGCTCCTTACTTTCTGGAAGAGTTTACAGTTGCTTCCACCTAGTAGGAGTACATTAAATCACAACAACAACAACAACAACAGATAGATAGATGTATTGCAGCTTCTGGAACCCGCCCGATTTGTCCATCCTGTAGAGCGCAGAGGGCATCCTGGGATCAAAGAGAAAGATGGCGAGAGGGACCAGGCCTTCTCTTCCTAGACACACCTTACCTGCGGCCCGCAGGAACGCAGCGCTCACTGTGTTTGAGAAATCCACAGAAGGAACCAAGTCGAGGGCACGAGTCCTCTGACAGCCACAAGGTTCCTAAGTTAAAGCGGGGACGAGAAGAGAAGGAGACAGAGAGGGAGGAGGAGGTGGAGGCGGCGGCAGCAGAAGTGGAAACAGTAGACACATTTCTCCCTCCCACGCCTCTTCTTTGAACAAACAGAGGTTCCATTTTTCTCCAAATAAATCTTGATTATTCACATTTACGCCCGGCCTCCTAATTTCTAGTTCAGCCAGATGTTCAGGAGCAGAAACCCTGAGAGCTATTAAAGGGTGGGGCCCCTCTGCTTGGCCGGGCCACTGAACTGGCCAGGTTCTAAAGAGAGAAGATCATCTTTCATGAAGAAGACTTAGTAGCTTGCCTCCACCGATCATTGATTTTCCCCAAATAAGCAGTGTGATTTTTCTTGCAGTGTATTGAGCGAGTGCTGCAACATTCTCCAGGCTCCTAACTGTAAGGATCGGTAGACCAGATGGTAAAGGCATGTACCGTATCATCAAAGACCAGGGAAATCAAGCTTCACTGGATGGGATGATAATAACCAGCTCATTCCTTCTCAATTACTGACTTTTCTCTCAACTAGCAACTTGGCTCAGCACCTGGCCCAACAACTTAGTTCCCCAGAGAAAAAGACCAGGGGGCGAGTTACACTTCTGCTTTTTCTTTTCACAGCAACTTATCTTTCTTCTTTTTCCTGCATTTAGTCTGACATGATACAAATGAGAGTCTGTGTGTAGAGACTGGATATTTTACCCATGATAAGGTTCCAGCCCTGCCGTGCCTGTGCTATCGCTGTAACTGGTTCACTCAGAAGGTCCTTGCAAGGAAGGACATTTGTGACACCAAGTTTCAACAGATGACTGACTTCTAAAGGGAATGAGACCACACAGCGTGGTGCCCACAGCAGATGGCGAACACCAGAGCGTGTTCATTGCTCAGATCCAGGCTACACGGCACAGTGGGTGTAACGTGCTGGGCCTGATCTGGCTTGCAACGTTTTCTGAATTTTAGTTTGTTCGTATTAGGGTTTGTCTCAGAGGTGTATGTCATTGGGGTCACTCTCTTGAAGTTGTGTTAAGTGTTTTTCTGGTTTTTTGCCATATGAAACCCAGGACTGATGAACTCATAGGGACAGCAAGGCGGAAGAGCTCAACTCCATATCAGCCCAAGGTCAACTATCGCAAAGCAGAGGTCAGACATGCCTCCACCCTCCATCCATTTTCATCCTGTTCTGACATCAACCACCCCTCCTACAGCGTTCTGCTTCTTCACTGGGTTTGATAATTCATGACAGTAGGCGCGTAGAACTCACAGATAATATAATTGTGGGAGTTATTAGGGAAGTGAACCAGTAACAAATCAGGATCAGAAACATTAAGGATACAGTCCTTTTGTCTGCAGCAGGGCCTTTCCTCCACCCTGCCAGCGGCCGGGTCTCTCTCAGCCTCGTTCTTGGTCACTGGGCCTCAGCCCATTTAAACTCCGTTCGTGCTAATAAATGTCCAAAGGACACCCCACTCTTCAAGCCAGCCTCCTGCCCACAGATACGCAGCTGTAAGTTGTGTTGTAGCCTCTGGTACCTCTACTGTTGCCACTCCTTCACGCAGGTACCTCTCACGTGCTCTTCTTTCTTGATGCCTGTGGGATTTTCGCTTCTTGCTTCTGAGATGGTTCACTTTATACCCAGCGAAATGGCAAAACAGACCAATCTCCGAATGAGAGTCCTCTCTACCCTATTTGCATGATCCCACCCAATCAGTTAGTGGTAATTATAAAGACTGTGGAAAGAAGAGTCACACCAAATCAGTTCACTTTATAGTAGATGCTCACTTGCAGTTATTTCTGTCTTACACATATAAGTGTTGAATTAAAAGAAGACCCAGTCTGGATCTATGGGGTGAAGACGAGACTGTCTGCTTTAAACTGAGCTTATGCTAACATGACAGGATCTGAGGACAGGCAGAAAGATTGCCCCAGGGCTTGGGAACGGGACCTCAAGCCCTGTTTCCTCTGGGGCATTTCCCCTATGTCTAGGAAATGACAACGTGTCTGTTGAATGGTATTTATCTGCCTCTACTATATTACATCCATCGTACCAGTAAAGCGGATGTTTAGAAAGGTCATGTAATTGGCCCCCAAAGCACAGGCGACAGAAGCAGACCTGGATTCAGACCCAAGTCTGCTCCCAGGGTAGTGTAAGTTGCGGACCCCAGGGCTCTGCCCTCACTAAGAATGCTTGTGATTCAACTGGGAACAGAAGGCGTCCCTGCATTCCAGGCACCGCCCCAGCGGTGCCCTTGAGCAAGTCAGCTAGCCTCTGTGGCCTTGATTTTCACCTCTCGAGAAAAGGAGATGGGATTCAAGAAGAGATCAGGCCACTGTCTGGACACTGGTCAGTGGGCACAGAGATAGGTTTGCACCACCGGGCACAGTCTCGGAATCTTGTATATTTCCTTCAGTTTTGTGCTACAGCCCTGCTGCAAAGTTTCTGGAAGAGGACCTCGGATTCTCTGGGTTAGGCTGCTTCCCAAAGTTGGGGAGGGACGAGGAGATGGTGGGCAGCTTACTGAGTCTTGGAGGTGGTCCAAGTCCTCAGTAGAGCCTGTGCTGAGGAACACAGTTTTAGTGCATTTTTGCTCTGAGAGGTCAACTGTGGTTTGCTCTCTCTGCCCTGCTGCCCACTCACTAATCACTCTTTCCCTTCTGGGGCCAACTTACACATGCTGCCAGAGGAACTAGGCAAAATGTGGCTTTGGTATTTCTCTATGAAGAACCATATCCCACCTCCACGTTGCTGCATAGCAACCCTATGAGATGGATACTGTGATCATTCCAATTTCGTGCTGTAACAACTAAGCCACAAAAGGATAATACGACTTTTCCAAGGCCAGCCAATCTTCCTGACTCTTTTCAAACAATTTTGTTTCTGTTTGGTCTCCCCCTTCTCTCTCGATTCCCATCTTCCCTCCTCCCCTTCCTTCTTCCCTTTTCCCTTAGGAGATGGTGGGAGTGGTATTTACAGCCACAGCATCCCTGTGTGTTTTCTGACACTTAGAGATCAAAGTAGCAGAAGCCCCTGGTTGGTCAGGCCCATGCCTGGTTTTCTCAGTCAATACCAGTTAAGAACATTGATGGAGGAAGGCCTGAGAGGAGGCCAAGAAATCAGGGTCGACCAATGGGGGAAAATAGCAAAAAAGACCAGAGAAAGTCAAAGAGAGAGAAGGAAGTAGGGTAGAAGCTGCTGGCGGCTTGTCCTTCTGCTTTGTGGGGAGGAGGGGAGGAGGGCAGGAGTGAGACACGAAGGAGGAAGAGGGCATCTGTGACTTGAGGAAAGGAACAGGCTTCTTCTGAGCTTGGCCTTCGCTTTGAGTGGGACAAGTGAGGTCCCTATTGCATCCATGTAGTAAACTCACCATATAGCAAGACGAGGCTCCCACCTGATAAGGAGGAAAGTTCAGGTAAACACAGCCTTTATTGATGATATCAGTTCAAGCCTAGTTGATATTTCAATAGCCTGTTGTTGGGATGGACAAGTCATCGCCTGTAGTTCCTCTTCACCTTTTTCCTTTGCCTTCTGTCCTCAGAACCAATCTCCGAACAAGATTTTCCTTTGAATAGTTCCACCTTCACCTTGTTCCCAGCCCAGCGTCAGCCTCATGCTCCTTCTGTGTAGTTAGAGCTTACCCCTAGTCCATCTCTGCAAACTGCTACCCCTCTTAAGGACATAAGTGGCTTTTTCTTTCTTCTAAGACCAAGTATGGAATCCATCCATCCATCCATCCATCCATCCATCCATCCATCCATCCCTTACATAGGAGCCTTACCTAGATGATGCATTTTATCCTTACTAATATCAATCATCCT